ATATTTTTGTACATGCATGTACCTATAATGGGATCACATGCTGCTCCCTCTATAGTGCAACTCTTGCCTTCATGCACACGCCCACCGACACCTCGTGAAAAGCCGCGACTTCCTGCGGCTTCCAACGACATCAGGTCGTAACAAAAAAACATGTGGCAGGTCCTGGGGTTGTCTAATGTCACTGAAAATAGCGCAGAGTGGACGTCCCAGCGAGTTTGAGCCCCGCCGAAGCCTCATGCGAAGGGATAAGACCATCGAGGGTACACGACAATCGTGATGATCAATCAAAATTGTCCCAAAACGTATATTCGACAAGTAGAAAATCTATTGGGGGGCCGCGACCCCTCCTCCAGATTCTTATTCTATTCAGGTGATGCAGAGTAAATGCTGTCCGCTTTGGGCTGGCCGAACTGATGGGGTCCTGACAGGTGCCTCGGCAAGCCTCCAAAATATTCTGCAGGAATAAATTTAGCTTACGGGAAGTTACCCAGTGGTTGACTTCCCGTAAGCTTAGAATATGTTTGAGTTTTCTGTAGGGGTCCCAGCGATGTCGGCATTCAATTCTTTACAGGAAATTTATTCATGTTCAGTTCCCGCAAGAATTTCTTGGGTAGTTTTTTCGGTAGTTTACATCGTGATGTTGTCAAACAACTGCAATCAAGCCACACTAACGCGTCCTCCTTTCTGCGCGCATACCAGCATCCACCGCCCAATGGACCTCGACACATTTATTCTTCACCAGCGGCTACAGGAGCTAGAAGAAGATGAAATTGACGACGAACAGATCCTCGTCAGTACGGCGACAGCAATCATTATCCTGGGAGCTGTCGAGGCTCATCAGCTACGCACGGAACGCCGACGGCCCAGCTGTTGCGAGGGGCTGGTTTGGGTGTCAAATTGAGTTGGAAACGACGAGCCACATTGCTGGTTTGTCGGCCATGGCGGTCATGCAGCCCTGGATCGTTTTGCCTTTTGAGTAACTTGTTGCGAGGTGCGGGCGGTCATCATCAGTTGGAGGCTGATAGGGAGGCGAAAGGAGCGGCTGGGACGCTCTGGAGCGAAGTCTAAGCAGTATGTGCAGAGAAGTGAATAAAGAGCGGAGGATGAAGGAAGTGACGAGCGTGACACGCAACCGAATCGGGACAGGTAACGGGAGGAAGCATCTCCGAATGTGTTTATTCGGTACGAAAGTCTGTATTATAATTCTGTAGAGGGGTACCCCCCCCCTCTACAGATTTTAAGTCTATTCGAGGGTCGAATTGACGAAATTCGAGATCCAAGTCCGATGGGGTCCTGACAGCTGCCTCGGCATCTCGGCCAAATGACTCGAAATATATCCCGCAGGATTTTCTAAGCTTACGGGAAGTCAACCAGTACATGTAACACGCCAAATTTTTTACTTACTGTTGACTTACTGGTTGACTTCCCGTAAGCATAGAAAAATATTCTATACTATAATACGAGGGGGTAGGGCTAAAGAACATTCTGCGATGTTCTATCCCACGGTCATGCCCGTCGACGTCACCCAGCGGGAACATGCGAAAGCTGTCGCGGGTGCACCCGGCGCGGGGTCCGAACCATGGGAATTACTGTATTTTTTCATTCAATCCGACCAGGGGGGTGACGCGTGACTCAAATTACCGATTCGACCATTCGACCACGGCCGAAATTTCGCGTGACACATGCAAAATTTTCAACTGCCAAAAGAAAATTTTCGATTTTGCATGTCGCAGACATGATTTTGGGGAATTTCGAGGGCCGCGTGACACAAAATGTGTTCGACCAGAGGGTGGGTGACGCGTGACAAAATTCCAATGTTCGCCATCGACCAAGGGGGGAGTGACGCGTGACGGTCGAATTGAATGAAAAAATACAGTACGCGCACTTACATACATCACCCAGCACGTGGGCGCAAGTGGAACGCGTACATACGGGCACGGTAACGTGCAAGTGGTACATGCAATTGCCTGGGCTTCCCTTGGAAGCCCTGGAAAAGAGGAAGACAAACAGGGTGCACTTGGAACAAGCCCCAGACACTGGGAAATTGTATAAGGAAGAAAGCAGTGAGAAGTGTGAAAAAATAAACGGAGACAGGGACAGGAAAAATGCGCAAAGCAAAGTGGCACATGTGGGAATAGGGACGGCGGGATGGGGACGGGGATGCGACGGGGATGGGGCAAGGGGACAGATGGGAACAGGGACTGGGAATACAAGGGGGTAGACGGGGAAGGGGCCGGGGAACATTGGGGGACAGGATGGGGCAAAGAGATAGACAAGAACAGGGACTGGAAACACAGGGGGTAGACAGGAACAAAGCCGGGGAATGAATATGGGGGCAGCAACAGGACACTATCGTTTCCTCAGCTTGCCGTGAATTTTATTCACGGGGTTATGCTAGTCTGGAGGAATATTTTTAGGTGTTTCGCCGAGATGCCGAAGCAGCTGTCAGGACCCCATCGGCTTTCGATCTCGAATTTACCAAATTCAACCCTCCGATAAACCTTAATGTATTTAAATCTGTTGAGGGGGTAGGGACCCCTCGAACAGAGTATTTCGGACTGAATAAACAAGTTTGACGTGCGACTTCGCCCAAAACAGCTGTTATGTGGCTGTACGCCAGTCCCTTACAGTAGTAGTAGTAGTCACTTCTATCTTTTGCTTTGTTCTCTCTACCCCGCATCCTGGTGAGCTTCAAAACACAGCGCCCTCCTGCCAACATGCTCGATACAGCAGTAGCTGATCCCTTTCAGCCCCGAAATGGCCGACGATCGCTCGAATGTTCGGCAACGGCTTATGACGAGGTACGAAGCGGCCCGGGACGAGCCTCGATGGCTCCCAACATGATTATGGCTGTAGCAGTCCTCGTAAGGAGCTATTCATCATCTGCTTCATCTTCCTCGATCTCCCGTAGCTATTGATTAAGAACAAACACGTCGAAATCCATTTGCGGAAGTTGGTACGCGTAAGAAGAGGACGTGTTAGTGTGGCTCGATTGATGTTGTTTGACAAGACCCCGAATCAAATACACATGCGCCAAATTATATTTAATTGAGGAAGATTCGGAAGAAAACTCTTACGGGAACCCAATCCGAATAGATTTTGGGAATAAAGTGAGATCCCGACATCGTTGGCACCCTTCAGATAATACCCAGGACTATTCTATGCTTACGGGAAGTCAACCACTGTACTATTTCGACCAACTGTTCATTTCTCGGCAATCACATCAATATTCCCATATATGGTAGTCCGGCATCCGCAGGGCGCGATTTTTTCGTATTTTTCGGCCTATTTGGGACGCAAAAGCCCAATAGGGTGTTACACAGTAGGGATTTCAACCCGATTTCGAGCTCGATTTCGACTCGATTTCGGATCTGATTTCGAAGGCAGCGTGACACGGAGAACGCCGAAATCTGCGATTTCGAGCGATCAAAGTTGAAATCCTGATTTCGATTTCATCCTTGTGTCTGCTCATCATTCGCCAACCGCGCTCATCGTCTCCCGCCCATCGATCACCGCGATGAGCTTGCATATCTCTTGAACCCGGCCCCCTTAGAGTGCGCACTCTTGACCAGATGATAAATAATTTGAGACCACAGTACATTGAGTAATTACTGTATTCAAAACGATGTTACTACAAGTGTCGGGAATCGGCGGCGGGAGGGGCGGCAGTGGGGCGGGCAACGTTGGCCGAAATCAGCAGACCACGCCAAACACTCTGATGAATCCCACGCTTTCAGCTGGCTTTGAGTGTCACATCAAGTCACGAAATCCATGCTTGAAATCCAAATCGAAATCGAGCTCGAAATCAGCTCGAAATCAAGTTGAAATCTCAACTGTGTAACACCCTAATGTTACGGTTACGGGCTGTTACGGGTGCCAAAACTTAAAAGTGTTCGGTCGTGTTACGTGTTACGTGAACACTTACAGTATGGCGCCACGTGCCGCGCTCTGCGATCGGGCCTTAATGGACCAATTTGCTCTCTTCGACGCGCGTTTGGCCGTTTTAGGTCTGTGGGCGCAGTGGCGCGCAGCACTAGGCCCGACGCGCAGTACGTAGCTAGCCCTGTGCGGCCGCCACTGGCTCGCTCTGGGCTATCTCCGTTATGCCCGCTGACAGCCCGAGTCGCCGCCGCGACGACGCCGCGACGCCGACAGACTGCGACGGCAGATCGCACGCGGCGTCGGCCCCTCTGGCGCCTGTCCCTAGCGCGGATGACTAGACCCTCGATGACTCAACCCCTGGATGATTATTCTGACTCGCCGGCCTCGCCTCGCGCCCACCACACCCTCTAAATCTGATGCGCCCGAGCGCGGATGACTCGCCCATCTCTTCGCTTTGACCAGGCCCCGCAAGGACGACTCTGGCCCCACGATAATGACTTTCTTGACAATGCCTCGCGCCCGCCACGCCGTTCTAAATCTGCTTCATATTAATATCGCATCCTACTAGCCCGATTACAACCCTTGCCACTTGGACCCGACGCGTAACGTAACTCTGACTGCAGATTATCCCCGTCCTCACGTTTCCCCCCGCACCACGTTTATTCCGTCCGCTGCATTCCAATCCATCTACCATCTAATCACGGTGATAGACAGGGAATGCAGCCTTACGGCCCATGTCGTGTGCGCGTACCTCGCCATAAGTACTTATAACTGTTCCGAGTCATTCCACGCAGCTCCAATTAAGCTGTTCCGCGGCGATCTACGTGCACCTAATACTTAAGCCTACTTGGTCCGGCTCTGCGTCGCGGTCCTCTGCTTCTCGTCCCTCCGCTCGCAAGGGGCATCTCCCCTCCTCCCGCCGGTGGAGCAGATTATTACCTTTGTCTCCCGGATCGCTACCATATCACCGGACGCGTACTTTCCTGGGTACACGCATACCCTCATCCCCTTTTTATTCGTATTTCCTACAGAGACACGAATGAAGCGCCCACCGCCTCGATCGTGCCGAGGCCCGTCGAATATCCCTACGTTCCCCGCTGCAAAGCAGGGATAGGAACTTGGACGTGGTGCATGGTGTACGCCTGCTCTCCCTGAGGTCGCAAGTTCTAAAGGGGTTACGTGGGAAGCCTGGGTTCGACTCCCAGCGTCCGAATTTGTCTTCTACGATAACACTTTTTATTCGAGGTGAGCTCGAAAACTCCTTCACTTATCGTACCTCATCCCAGAGGTAGGAACTCGGACGTGGTGTATGGTGCACGCCTGCTCTTAATCAGGCCTGTGTTGTAATCTCCCAGTTGATGCAGGAAGCCTGGGTTCGACTCTCAGCGTCCGAATTCGTCAGTACGGCACACTTTGGTTACTCAATGATCCCGCGGGAGCTCTTCGACGTTGCTTCGACGCGCGTTTGGCCGTTTTGGGTCTGCTGGCGCTTCCTCTGGGCGACGCGCCACATTAGGCTCGATGTGTGCGTCGTATCTACCCCTGTGTGGCCGCCACTGGCTCGCTCTGGGCTATCTCCGTTATGCCCGCACCGCTAGGCACCGCTGCTATATCGCACACCACGTCTTCCACGATCACGCTGATTCAAACAAACGTCCTGAACGCGCTATCCGCCCTCCCACACGATTTTGACAATATGGAAGCGATCAATGCCGTCCCCGAATACATGATCCTGCCCCGAACCATCCAATCGTCGATGGTCCCTGACGAGAACGGGACCGGGGGAATCGCTCCTCGCTGGCGGGCCCCTGCTCACCATCCTCACGCTCCGCATCGTCATCCTGACAGAATTCCTGGAAGCATGCCGCGGAACCGACATCCCTCACAAGGCGGCAGAGACGCTCGCCATTCTAACGAATTTCACGCCCCGTAAGCCTGGGGTGCGCGCCGTGTATCAAGTTCGCTTTGCCCGCAGCTGGAGCGCACTCTGTTCACAGGCAACCCCCCGCGCGCTGCTGGAGAGCCTCGCATGCGGAAAGGTTCTCTCTGCATATTCAGAAGAGGACGTGGAGGGGAATGCCGTCTCGTTTCGTTGGTTGGATGATCCCCTTGCCGTTCGGATATTCGAAAAGTCGCTGGAGAAGTATTTCAATAGACACGCCAGGAAGATGGACTCAGAGCTCGGGAGAAGGCTTGCGGAGATTCAGAAAAGGATCGCTGGAAGCATTTAAACGTCCCGGGGAGTCAATGCGTTGTTTCGTCACCAAGGATTGTATGCAATATCGTTTCCCATGTATGTATGTACATACGCAGGTGGAACGACCGAAGTTCATGCATGGAACACTAGAAATGGAGGAACCCGAAAGCATTCTAGCCCGCGACACGCTAATGAGAAGTAGGAGCCCTGCAGCGCAACCCAATGTCCTTTCCACGGACGCAGCCCCAAAGTCAGTGGGATTAGCGGTCAGCTGTTTCAGGGGATTGGAAACCACTCCAATAAATATCGAGCTAGTAAGTACAGCATACGCGCCCTGTATGCATTCAGACGTCTATGAGATCAAGGCAAGTGACGCGCTACTTCAATGCCAGCAATCGCAGACCTCCGCGAATCTACGGCCCGGCGCCGAGGCGGTAACTCCTCACTGCAGCGTTCTCAACACGCCCCTCGCCTCAAGCCCCGCAAGCCGCTCCCTCACCGTGCTCGAGAAATGCGCAAACGCATCCGGCGCGCCGGCAATGCTGTACTTCTCGTACCCCTTGAACGTCAGCGCGCGGAGCCGCGGGGCGGCGAGCAGCGGCGCCTCGAGCGCGCGCCAGGTGAGCGGCGGGACGTCGAGGAGGTCACGGCGGATCATGCTGTGGTCGATGGAGATGTATTCGAGGGCGCTGGTAGCGATGTCTAGATCTGAGAGGGTGCCTGTAGGCAAGGGCAGGGGCGCGTGGAGGAAGTCGCCAAGCCAGCGGAGGGAGGCGGCGATGGAGGCGTCGGGGCCATCTTTGAGGTGGAGCGTATGGAGAAGGGGGAAAGACGCGAGGCAGGTGGGGGTTGCGCCTGCGCCACTCGAAAGGGTCATCGCTAAGGGCTGCAGTAAGAATGGGCAGTGTAAGTTGAAGAAAAAATACCCACGGGGATCGAGATGAAGGGTGAGAACCTGAAGCGACGCAGCACCGGCGAGGACGATAGGCGGGCGGCGGTCGGGCGCGTCGTAGTCGTTCTGGAGGTAGAGCACGTCAATCGCGAGCGTGTGCAATGCGTCGAGGAAACCGCTCGGGACGAGCCACGCGGAGAGCGGGCCGAGAATCTTGCAGTCGCCTGAAATGCGCAAGGCCCGCAGGCGCGGGGTGTCCTCCGGCGGTGCCACGGGCATCTGAAGCGCGACGTCCTGCACGCTCCAGCCCGTGGACTCGGCGTGGATCGCGAGCTCCGTCAGCGCGGCACAGCCGTTAAGAAGCGCGGCCCACTCCGGGAGGCTCCAGAGGCGGTCGATGAGGAGGTGCACGGTGGTAAGCTGGCGCGTTGCGTCTGCAAGGAGGCGATGCTGCGCAGGGGAGAGGTGGCGGAAGCCGAAGGGATCGCAGTGCGCGGAGAGCTGGGTCACGTTCGGGAGCTGGGCCATGCTTTCGGGCGGGAGGAGCGCAGACGCGGGGAGCGAGGCCATCATGGGCATGTCGAGCCGGCGGACATACATTGCCACTGCAGGTGACGACGCCACCACACCACGGAACGCGTAGACGTTGCGACCAGTGAGGCGCACGGATGAGAAGAGGTATAGACGGCTCCAAGGCAGGAATTCCCGTGAGATGAGCGCGCAAGTGCGTAGAGTTGGGATGTCGTTCCGGAATTCGCTGACGATCTTGGCTACCAATTCCTGCGGGAGTTCCAGTTGTGAGGCCATTGGATTAGCTCTAACGAGTGAGTAAGGACGCTTCCGAGTGGTTGGATCAAAGAGAATGACTCACATGATGCTCGGCGATCACTGTCTAGATAACGTTTCAGGGACAAAACTCATGTATCCTCGGCGTTGTCTCAGATCATCTCCTGAATCTGTTGAGTCTTACTGGCCGTCTAGCTCAGTTGGTTAGAGCGTCGTGCTAATATTTGAATGCCGATACGATTTATACGCGAAGGTCTTGGGCTCGACCCCCACGATGGCCAGGTGGACTCGTCCGTATCTTTTTGAGGAGGCTTTGACCAACCGTGCACTTTCCTGTGAAAGCACGGTCCATTTCACTCCGCTTAAGGTCCCTCGCAGTGCAATATTGGCCTTAACGGATGCCGCCGGCACATACTCAACGAACACCCAGACTTTTTTAACAGACAGAAAGTAAACTACGCTAGAAATGGCGAGACAGTAACATGTACGGTGTTTGCTCAGTTGCGATTCGTCCCCCATTGCAAATGCAGGTTCTTCGGTGCAGTGGATGCGACCCTCAGTGTCTTTGTACTAACACCGAATGTTGCCACTGTTCTTCCAACCACCAACAGCACTGATAAATTTCCCGGCATCCAGCCGGTCAAGAAAGTGCGCTCACACCATGAAGCTTGACAGGCCTGTTAGTATTACTTGGACCGTTTATCCTGGCTTCTCCAACTCAAATAACCGTGACCAGATACAGATTCAAGTATTCTTTTGAACTCAACTGCCACTGAGGATTTCAAACTTTGCCGAGCTCTACTCTCAACCGACGATAAGTCAATGCTGCAGAGTTGGGTAAGATTTACGCATCATTGTCATTATTCTAAAGGTCTGATACAACGTTTACAGTCTATATTTATGACCTTCAGGGTCTGCCCAGCATTTCTCCTACAACTCAACCAAATGCATTCCCTCACTCTATTACTTTGGCTACTTTGGACGGCCTCCTTCTTCAAGATCGTCGGCCGTTGCCCTCTTCCGTGCTAGTTTCCACTTGGGTAACAGCACCAGCGCATAAGCAAGTTGAGTTTTGCGTTCCGTGCGAGGCTGAGGCGGTATCGCATCTTCATCCCCCTGGACCCATTTCTTGAATGACCACTTTACACAGAATCGTCATGTCCTCGAGATCGTGGCTATAGAATGGAATCGAACCCAAGGACCTAGCCTGCCAGTGGCATGTGTCACTAGCCATTTCGGTCCCTCTAAGGAGAAACTGTGGAGGCCATCCGATGGGGAGGCGGACGTATCCCCGAGGCCCACAAACACAGTTCCGAGCAGATCCGGCTGAGTGTCGCCAAGTTCGCAGTCGTGGATACTGCCAGGACCGTAAGTATTGATCGTGGACGGCTCTATCCTGATGTCTTTGTGGAAGAGAAGGTGAATCCACAACCGTCTGACCTCTGTGATTAGAGTGCGAGACACCCTAAATTCCGGGGAAGCAATTGTGATTCCCCTGTCCGAATCTGCAGGTTTGAGGCTGTTGTACCACTCTCTGAGGAGACGCGTCGTCCTCTCTTTGCTGCGTCCATCTTCTGACTTGCGCACGAGGCCTTCGAATTCGCGGGGAACACCGTCCTCCGAGTCCTCGTCAGAACTCTCATACTCAACTTCCTCCTCGTCTCTTTCCTCCCGCGGAGACTTCGACCAAGTCCTCGGCTGGTTTATTCCCAACTGTGAGGTTGGCACCTAGTTCACCGTCATATTGGCATTTTGGATGTAGAATCGTAAGTTTCAGAGCAATTTGATAGATCCGTGAGCTGCGACACGTTCTTCGCCGTTTACATAAATCCTTCATTGCTCTCACAATCTTGCCATTTATCAGATTGGGAATTTCATGCACCACCGCGAGAATCACACCTCTGCGTCATGCATAGCATCAATGAAGTCTCCGTGCATCGGGAGGATTCGTGCGTGGTCGTGGGAGCTATAGCCTTCCTTCCATTGGCGAACTTCCTCTGGCATGGTCCCAATCGGCTTGGGGCCTTTGGAAAGTTGGCGAACGCGTCGTTGTATTCAACTGCCGAGCGGATATCACTTGTAATGGCGTACGTGATGGGAGAAAGTATGAAGCTGTGTGTGGGGGTCATAGTGGTTTTATACGTCAAGGGGCCCACAGCTCAGTGTGGCCACATGCCAATCTGGACAGTTATTTATTTTTGGCGTGCAGTTTTAGAACAAGGCATATGTAGAGAACAAGGTGCTATTGTAGTCGGTCGATTAATTGCGTCTTCCCAGAACAATAAGAATGGCCCAGCAACACAATCATCCTTGTTCAATTCGGAGTAGTTGTTAGGAAGGCATCAGCCCACATGTTGAGGCCGTCCGGGGCCAGGCTCAGATCCAAATTCGCACAAAAGATCTATTGGTTGGCGCGCGCTTGAAATAGGGCATTCGTGCCGAGCGCGAGTTGGCTGGTATTTAGTTAAGTCAGGGCAGAACTTAACTACGGATCCTACACAACTTTGGAACTACAGTTACTGGCGTCGGAAGAACATTGGCGGAGAAGTTGTGAGGGGACGAGTACTAGTTTGACGGCTATTCATATCTGTGGGCGCCGACGTGAACAACACCTCGCGCCGCCTGCACCGGCAAGAGCGCCGAGATCGCAGATTTGAACTGGCGGCCCAGGATGTCATCCCTGCTATCCCAAGGTCCGTAGAACTCGATCCGCGTGAGGCTGGCGAATTCGACACCCTCCAGGAGCTCCGCGGCGTCACTCGGCGACCCGGAAGCAAGCTCTATCCCCGGGGCGAGAGCGGCGATGAACACAAGCTGTTCGAGCTGCGAACACGCGAGCTGGCGGAGCAGCCGCACCAGCGCCGGCGCCACGCGAATGTGGTCTTCGCCGGAAATTGTGAAGCAATGGGTGATTGTCAGCGACCGCAAGCCCGCGAGGGACTGCAGCACCGGCTGCTCGGAGAAGATGGCTACGGGACTACATCAGCGGGACGCACAGGAAGCAATGAAAGGTTGGGACATACAGAGCTGGCTTTCCGCCCGGAATTTCAGCGTGAGTTGACATAGAACTTTGCCCTGGGACTTGAGGTAGTCTCCAAAGCCGGATTCTAGCTGCGCGAAGTCCACTATGAGACATGGAGCACCCAGCGAGAAGTCAAGCGACTTCAGCCATCCCATGATCCCAGGGTTAAGTGTGAATTCCAACGCGTTGAAATGAAATGGCAGCATTGCCTTTTGGCTCGGACCTGGTTCTGCCCCGCAGGTCACATGCACCAACTTCAAGGTTTTAACCGATGGGAATTGCAATAGAAAGGCCGTCAGCTTGTCGTACGAGTAGAACTGGGCCGAGTATAGGGCAAAAAAATCGAGGAAGGGGAGGTGGGGGGAGTCAACGCCTCGTGGTGGAAGGTCAGGAGCCTCCCGTAAATGTGAAGCGCTCGAAGGTTGGAAAAGCCGGGAAGAAATGGCCATAGCTGTATGATCTCGACGTATTGAAACGCCGCAACATAAAGCCCCCGGAGTCGGAAGGCAAAAGTATTGCATGGGGATTGCAGGAGGTCCAAGAATGTATCGATATTACGATGAGGGAGGTACACTGCATCGTAAAGGTGGTATCGACTGGTGGCGAGCCAATTGTGGCTGACCAACCCACAGGTTCTGAGGGTGGCGAGATCTCCTCGAAGATTGTCGATAACAAGGTCCGCGACCTCTGGCGGCAGACGAGCCATTCCAAGGTCGCAAGGCGATTGTGGTGGCAAGAAGGAAGCGCGTCACCGTCACATGTCACATGTGAAATTCTCGGCATCTTGTCGGCATCCTTGAACTTGAACTCTTGTTCCGAGTTCCTTGCCCAACAACATCATGGCCTGGGCCTCAATATATAGACTGTAAGGTAGCCGCTGAAAATTTCTGGCCGGCTGAAAGACTCGGACTGCTTTAGAATCTTGGATGGCCTCTCATTTTCTTTAGCGCGCTACCGTTTCTTCAGCTGCCAGGACTGGCTTTGAGTCTTCGACAACAGCACCATCGCATGTGAGAGTCGGATTTTGTGTTCCGTGTGAGTTCTAGGAGTTCGCCCAAATTCCTCATCCACCGCTTCTTGAATCTTCTCCTTCTACACCGCCAAAGTGCCCGCACATCACCTTCAGCTGGTGCGGGCACGTAGCAGACACTTATTTTTGAACCTGGCCAGCAGGGGGCAGTTAGGTGGCTGCCAGCTTCTGCTTCGCAGGTTTTGGTGCAGCTTTCCGTCACATTTCGTGTCATGTATCGATTACTTGGGTTGGGCAATAACCTGGGTCTAGACTGTACATTGTGAATCATTTACATAGTCTGATCTGTGAGACGTGACATTCATTGAGATCATCTCGTCCTCGCGACATGGCACCAACTGGCCGTCTTCAATGAGTCATGTAAGTTAAGGCTTGGGCTTGGCTTGGGCTGCTTGGTTAGGGCTGAGAAAATCTGGGATTCAACATTGGCTGCGGATAATAACAAAGGTTACAGATGGAGATGGTTGAATTAATTGCCGATTTTTTTTGTGTTCGCGCCAAGTCCTTGAGCTTCGTTGAGCGGGATCCAGGATGCCAATGATGATCGGGTCCGTGCGTGATGTTGTTGATGCATTCCATCACGTGCATGTTGCTCTCACTACCACCTCTTACCTCCGTCCATTCACGCGCTCCATTGCAGTGTATACTGCGATGCACGCCCGCTTCGTCCCTCCGCGCTCTCGCAACGTCAAAAGGAATGGAATGCGATGAATCATCAAGGCCGTCTGCTCATGATTTCCGTCTAGGCTTCGTTCCATGCTACAACGTGTTTCCTGCTGCAGATGCTCGGCGCGCGGTGCCCCCGTCAGCGGAGGACGAGGCGAGCGGAGAAGCTACCCGTGGTATGGGATGTACCACCTTGGCCCGGTGGTCGGGACCTTCTGCAACAGCAAAAGCCAGTCAAGGTATCATATATTGTAACCCTCTGTGCCGCATTCAAACCCCCAACGTGTTGCTATCGTCTCCTGCTGTCGCACCATGTTCTTTCCTCCCTGCCTTGCTCTCTGTCTTTATGTACACTTCCAACCACCCTTACGCCGCAATACCCTACTTCAAGACCCGAGCAAAAGTCAAGATAATCAAATGATCCCAACCTAAATACTTCAATCCTCGCAATTCCAAGTATCAACACTCAATCCTCGCAATTCCAAGTATTAAAACTCAATCCTAGTATCAAAACTCAATCCTCCCAATTCCATGTACAGTCTTTGGGAACGAGTCGGCCGGCC